CATTGTGGCAAGAGGCTGGACTCAGCTGGAAGGAATTTCTACCCGAAGGCCAAGATGTTGGCGTATTTGTTGCTGAAAAGGTTTGTGGTTGGAGTTAACTCCATTTGGGGCTGGCTGGTCTTCTCCCTCTTTTCTCATCTCACTCACATTGTTCACTTACTTCCTGACTCTGGGCCTTTTCGCTTGCAGAAGGTGGACTATACCCTTGGAGAGGAGTCACAAGTCCCAGGCCAGAGGTTGCTCTCCTCAGAGGAGCTGAGCAGGCAGCTGGAGAAGCTGCTTAAGGAGGGCAGCAGTAATCAGCGGGTATTTGACTGGATAGAGGTATGTTTCTCCTGGATATTGGGAAAGAGGAATAAAGGAGAGGTAGTTCTTGGTGTGGTCGTGGGGGCACAGTTCAGAATTTAGGAGCCATGTGTTTCTTTTCTCCTACACAGGCTAACCTGAGTGAGCAGCAGATAGCATCCAACACATTAGTTCGAGCCCTCATGAAAACTGTTTGCTCTTCCGCAATTATCTGTAAGAGGAGCCAGGGAGATGGTGGGGCAAGGGTGGGCCCAACAGACAAATGGGGGGAGGGAAGTTTTGTTTTTTGCCTCCTAGTTCTGAACCAAGCTGAAGGTAAATGATTCCATTTATCTCGTCTTCCTTCCTGTAGTTGAGACTCCCCTCCGAGTGGATGTTGCGGAGACTTCCCTCCGAGTGGACGTTGAGGTGCTGAAAGCGCGAGCAAAACTGCTACAGAAATACCTTTGTGACGAGCAGAAGGAGCTGCAGGCACTCTATGCCCTCCAGGCCCTTGTAGTGACCTTAGAACAGCCTCCCAGTAAGAGCCAGGCTGGAGGGACTGGGGTGGGGTGGAAGAACTGCCAGATAGGTAGCAGGGGCAGACATGCAAAGATTCTCAACCCAAGAAAGGTGGTTGGTCATTGGAGAGCAGAATGCTCTTGATGATTGATTCCTACCCTCTACAACGTTTGTTTCTTTGCCCACAAATGGAAGAAGTTAGATTTGGTCTTGAAGGTTAATTGACTGCCTATTTTGTGCTTAGCTCCCTGTTAGATGCTAAGAGTACAGAGGTGATAAATAATGTTTCTCTCTGCCTTTCACAGGGCTGAGATTTTTTTTTTTTTTGCCTCATTTAATCCTCACAAGTATTGTTTAGGGTAGATGGTATTATCTTCTATATTGGGAGACTGAGGCTTCGGTTAACATGCCTGAGATTATGTAGTTAGCAAATAGGTATGTGCTTGGGCCCTGGGATATTAATGGTGAATAAGTCAAACGCAGTTCCCATGCTATAGGTCATAAGTGCTAGAAGATGGATCCTGAATGGTGGTCTCTGGTGTGAGAGGGTGGAGCGGGGGCAGGGCAGGATGCGAGTGACGTAATACTTAGTCTGAGAGAGGATGAGTCGGAATTGACAAATGGAAACTAAATGACAAATGGGAAGGGGGAAGACTTGGAACAAAGGAACTATGTGTAAATGAAAGCCTTGCGGTAGAAAGAACTGGATGCAAGGTAAAAGAGCTGTTGAAAGAAGGCCGTTGTGGGAGAGTACAGTAACCAGTCATATGTGAGGCAAGGTGAGGCTGGAAAGGTGGACATGGGTCAGGTCACACAGGGCTGGGTAAGCCATGGGATGAGTTTTGGACTTTAGCCTAAGTGTGAGATTTTAAAAAGCGAGGAATAAAAAAATTATCTTAGTTTTTAGATCATCCTGGCCATTAGAAGGAAGAGTGCTGTGAAATGGGTGAGTGAATGTGGTAGGATAAGCAGATTAATGTTTTGGTAGTAGCACGGCCTGGCTGCTGGCAGTGAAGATGGGAGAGGTGTGGGCAGATTCGGGATGTTCACTGGCCTGGGTAGAGGGCAATGAGAGATCAGAAGTCCTGAGTCCCAGGATGGTTTTTAGTAGGTGAGGTACTGCCCACTGTGTGGTAGAGAACACTGTATCAAGTTGAGTCTGGTCATATTGAGTTTGTGGTCTGTGGGTAGAGGTGATCAGAGATGTTGGTAGACAGTGGGTATCTGAATTCATTTGTATTCATTCAGAGGTCAGGGTGGAGGCTGATCTGTGAGTTGCTAGCACAAGGCAACACATGTGCAAGTCAGGAAAATAAGGGGTTTCCTGAAGGAGCATGTAGAGGGCCTGAGATAGAATCTTGAGGAGGTAGAGGACCCACAGGTGGGTGGTGGATCAGAGGTGGACAAGATTCTATGAACTAAGGACAGTAATTTTAGGAGAGGGAAGTAGTCAGTAATGCAAGATGCTATGTGAAAGTTCCGTGAGAAAACACCTGAGAATTAAGGGCTTTTGGAATGTAAAAACATGGAGGCCACCCTGGCAGAAACATTTGATGGAGCAGGGGACAGAATCTGGATTGGAAAGGACTGAGTAATATTTTACTGAGACATAGGAAAAAAGGAAAAGAGCAAATGTAGACAGTCTGTGAATTCTCATCGAAAGACAAAAATCTTTTGTGTGGCTTAAGAGATAACAGTTGTAAAGGAGGCCTTTTGTGCTGAGATGGGAGAAACTTGGGCTTGAAAATATAGAGCAGAGTGGATAATCAATTGTACAGGATCCCCAGGTGGGTGTACATGGGATTTAGAGCACAAGTTTTGGATTAGTGGCCGGCTGCTACCATTGCTGTGGGATGGGGGTGGGAGACTGTCCACAGGGAGTGGGTGTAGATTTTAGGGTGTGTGTGCCCTGAGGAACATCTTGGCTTGCACCTTCTCATAGATGGCTCAGTCAGAATTTCACAGATGGACTAGACTCTAGATCTTATGCTTTATTCAGAAGAAATGTATTCACTACTTGGTCTCTTTGCTCTTAGAAATGTAAAGTTTGCTTTGGAAATACTGGCAGTGCAGGGAAGGGAGTAGGTTGCATTCAGGGTTATAGGACAGATATTTGGGAAGGCTGACTGGTAGGCAGGGGTGAAGGAGAAAGAGGATCAGATCAGGGAGTTGAGCCTGAAGGAATTCACTGGGACGGTGACAAGAAAAGATGTTCCTGGTAAAAGGTGTAGCACACGTAAAAGTGTCAAGGCCAGAGAGAGTGTGTATGCTCAGGAGATGTGTGGAAAGAGGAAATTGGGATCAAGAGTTTGTCAGAATCTATAATGGGGACCAGTGGATGTTGCAGGTTATATACCTTCAACTTGTGACTGATATATCTAGGACTGGTGATTCATCAAATTTAGGAGTACCAATTCTGCATATAGTTTTCCCATTAAATATGAGTGGAGAAATTTGAAACTGCCAGGGTGAAGCTGGGCGGGTTTTTAAGGTTTGGCCAGGTGACTGATAACTGCACACCAGTCTATTGGATCATGAGATTAGCATCCTGTCACAGACTTAGTCACTTTGAAATGATCAGACACACAAATGTCAGAATGGTGGGTCAAGGGCCTTGTTTTAACTGTGGAGTTTGGGAGGGATCCATTAGGGGTGGGATGGGGTGGCTGTGGGCAGCATACCTCTTAACTCTGTCTTGCCTGCTTGCAGACCTGCTTCGGCTGTTCTTTGATGTGCTATATGATGAGGACGTGGTAAAAGAAGATGCCTTCTACAGCTGGGAGAGTAGCAAGGACCCTGCTGAGCAGCAGGGCAAGGGCGTGGCCCTTAAATCTGTCACAAACTTCTTCACATGGCTTCGTGAGGAGGAGGAGGAGGAGTCTGACCACAACTGAAGGCGGGTGGGGCCGGGGACTTGGAGCCCCATGGACACTAGGATGGCCCAGCCAGCTGCCCGGACTGCAGGGGGGTCAGCAGCGGCGGCGGCGGCAGTGGGTGCCTGTAGTGCGATGTGTCTGAGCTAATAAAGTGGCTGAAGAGGCAGGATGGTTTGGGGCTGCCTGGGGCCCCCTCCAGGATGCTACCAGGTGTTCCTCTCCTCCCCCTGGGGCACAGAGATATATTATATATAAAGTCTTGAAATTTGGTGTGTCTTGGGGGGGGCACCACTGCCTGCCCCTGGGGTCTTTTTTTATTTTCCGAAAATCACTCTTGGGACTGCCGTCCTCGCTGCTGGGGGCATATGCCCCAGCCCCTGCACCACCCCTGCTGCTGCCTGGGCAGGGGGAAGGGGGGGGCACGGTGCCTGTAATTATTAAACATGAATTCAATTAAGCTCACTGCCTCTCTGCTTTATGGCCTGCTCCTTCTGGAGAAGGTACAGATCTGTGGGCAGCTTTTCCAGAGCTGGCACTATAGCACTGTTCCTGGCACCCCTCTTACCTTTTCCCTGTCCATAATTGTGGGGGCTGGGGTGTCACTTTCCTGGAGGGTTGGGCTCTGGAGGTGAATGTGGTGGGATGCCCTGCTGATGAAGGGAGGAGACATTGCTGTGGGGTACTAAATAGAATACAGTTGGCTGGTTTCCCCTCTATCAGAATGTGATCCAGACCTCTGCGTGGAGAAGATCCTGGGTTTCAGGCTGTTTATAGCAGGCAAAGACCTTTATGGTTTCAAGAAAACGAGGGGACTGGATGCGGTCTTATGTCCCCATGCAGTGCGACTGGCAGTCTGGGCCCAGTGAGTGCCTGCCTATCCGTTGTCGTCGCCTCCACTTCTTCCCCGTCCCAGCCACCTTAAGGGGCCGCTCCGCAGTTGGGCCTGGGAGCGGAGGACAATCTCCGTACTCCGCCCTGGGCCGCCCCTGCGTGGCCATGACGTCCCCTCGGCCCCGCCTGCTTTGTGTGGTGACGCGAATGGCCACGCCCCCGCAGTGACGTCACCGGGCCGGTTCCCTCTCCCGGGAACGGCGGCGGATGCGCGACTCACCCCCTCCCCTTTTCAAGGTTCTCCCCTCCCCGGTGGCTGCTGCTGCCCGACCTTCTGCAAGCCGATGGCCCAAGTCCCGGGCGCGGGCTAACGTGCTTGGGTGCCCGGCCATGGGCTGTATCGGCTCTCGTTGCCCGGCGGGTCAGGGTAAGAGGCGGAGGCAGGGCATGGGTTGGGGCGTCGGGGCTGCGGCTGCCTGGTGCGCGGGCTGCGGGTGGTGGGGGCCTTGAGGAGGGGGCCGGTGTCGGGAGAGGGAGGAGCCTGCATAAGGGAGGCGGGCCAGGCAAGAGGAGGGAGCGGGCCCGAGCGGGGAAGGGGCTAAACCGACTTGGATTCGCTCCCATGGCCTTCCTGCTCCTGGGCTCTGCAGGGTAGACTCGTATATTTCTGCCTGGATTCCCACCACCGAGGGTGGCAGGAGGCTCATGGCCTGGGGAAGGGCTAAACCCTCTGCAGCTCATGGCGACTGGCCTTGTCCTCCCACGTACACTCACCTCCTCTACCTACACCTCTTCTCTCGCTGTCCTGGGAGTAGCTTTATGCTGAGAACCTGCCTCTCCCAGCTGTGTCCCAACCCTCTTCAGCCTGCAAACGCTGGCCAAGAACCTACCGGAGAGTTTTTCATTAAACCTTACTCTGCACTTCAGTCAGCTTGTTGATGAAGAGGACTGAGGCCCCACTTGGGGCACCTGTGAGCACCTGATCACCTCTCACCTCTTACAACACTTAGTTCCCTTACCCTACTTCCAACAGCAACAAAAAATCACCCTACCCTGTGGAGGGAAACAGGAGCCCAGAGGGAGTCCATCAGGGCTTCCTTTCCACGACTGCTGACCCTTGCTTGGGCCTTGGTTCCCATGGATGGTGCATGCTGGGCCCTGGCCTTAGTCCTATGAGTCTGAGGTTGGCCAGCTACTTTATTCCAGTGTCATGGAGTTTTCCAAGCCTAAAGCCAGGCAGGAACTTGTGACATTGAGGGCTGGATTTGGAATGGGTCCTGAGCTTTCAGGGCAGGTGGTCAGTCGGTCACACAGGTCTTAGTGTGGTTGATATTTGAGGTTCTTTGTAGCTAAGACGCTAGCTGAGATTTGTATTTTCCTTGGGTTCCCATGAGGGATTCTGGGACTTGTAGTCCTAACTACAAGTAGTCCAGAAAAGTCCTCATGGCTTTTGAAGCTGAGAAGCAGCAGGCTGCTCTGATCCCTCTGGCCCTGCTAAAGCTTGGAGTATAGGAAGTCATTCCCTCCTGTAGTCAGGGGAGAGTTTGGCTGACCTCAGGACTGGCCTCAAGAGCCCTGATTAGGTACCAGCTGGGGGCCAAGGATGGCCTGTAACCTTGTGTCTTCCTTCTGGTTGGTAGCATTTCTGGGGACCACCAGCTGGCTGAGGCTCAGGGACAGAGACGGCTGCTCCAGCTAAAGGTCAGTTGTGATACACATTGCCTGTTGGCGCTGTCTAGGGGATGGGCCTCAGCTCTCTGAGCTCCACAGAGCTTGGCTGGGCCCCTGGCACTCCCACCTCCTCAAAGCCATGAGGCAGGAGTGTTCTCCTTATGTGACTAGGCACAGGTTCCAAGTGGGGAGGGGACTGGCTCAGCATCCGGAACCAAAATAGGAATAGAACTGGGAGCTGAGCCTGGAGCAGTTCTGGGCTTTTGGTTCTCTGCATCAACAAAGCCAGCATGCCTATGATTTCTGTGCTGGGTAAAATGTTTCTGTGGCAGCGTGAAGGGCCTGGAGGACGATGGACTTGTCAAACAAGTCGCAGAGGTGAGACCAGGGCCCGTAGATGTGATCTGGGAGGTGATGGGAAGCTGAGGAGTAGGGTGCTCAGGTGGCAAGAGGAAAATTACTCTGGCTTAGAGCTGAAGCAGGAAGAACCAGGCTGGGGCTAGACTGGTCATCAGGAAAAAAGCCCTAGAGGACTGGGGTGGAAGTCAGAAGAAAATCATGGGTTTACAGAAAACAAGAGTAAAGAGCTGCATACCAGCTGAGGCTGGCAAGAGGAAAGAACCAAGAGAAGGAAGGCAGAAAGCCTAAAAGGGTCCAAGGTAGTGTTGGGGAGGGGGCAGTGTTCGGGAGGGGGATGGTGTTGGCAGGGGAAGAATGAGGTGTGTTTTCCTAGAGAAATGGGCAGGCTGAGAAACCAGAAAAGATTCAGAATTTATCAAAGTTTAGGTTTCATCCCTAAGGTGTTGATGGCAAAATATATTCAGAGGACCCCAGGGACCCAAAGCTCAGGGCTGTGGGATAGGGGCTTTTAGAGTGTGGAGAGCACCAGGTGGTTGCTGATATTCTGGGAGATGGGGAAGGGGGTGAGGAGGAATGATAGGGCAACACCGGATGAAAAAGGGGATCTTGGCACAAGTTGGGAGCGCAGCTGAACAGCCTTTCCCCCACCCCTCAGTGGCCTCGGACCCCGCGTGGGCTGTGGAGTGGATTGAACTTCCTCGGGGCCTCTCTCTGTCTTCCTTGGGATCTGCTCGGACCCTCCGAGGCTGGAGCCGGTCCTCTCGCCCTTCCTCCGTGGACAGCCAGGACTTGCCAGAGGTGCTGGGCCCCTGGTGCTGGTAGGGGGAAGGGGGGCAGCATCCACATGAAAGAGATCTGTATTCTCCACCCCCGCCTCGCCAGCTTGTTTCTGGCTCCCTTTGCCTGTGAGCGGAGGCGCGCTATCCGGCCGGCAGTAAGGCCGCCCCCGCGCGGGTCTGCTCCTCTTGGCGCGGTGCCAGTTGCAGGCGGGCTGCTAACGCCTTCCGCGCTGACGTCAGCGCATCCCGGGCCGTATCCTGGGAGACCCTGTTGCATGGTGATGGGTTGCCAGGGAGACATACACCTTTTCTCTGGGCCTGGGCCGCAGCTGCGCGGAGCGCTGGCACGGATGGCGGCTGGGGGGAGTGAAGGGAGGGAGGGAGAGCGAGCCAGGAAACACCCAGCAGGTGCTCCTCCCTCCAGGCCTGGCCAGAGGCTACCGGCGCCACCCTGGGGGCCCTGTCAGCCAGGTACCGAAGGGGAGGGACAGAGGGTGGTCCTGACATCAAGGGGCCGGTGGAACCCCTCTTGGGCGTGGAACATGATAGAGGAGAGCTAGGCAATGCCTGGGAGGGGGCGTGTGCTTCCTACTTCATTTCTTGAGAGAAACGTTTGCCAGCGCTTGCTAGGGAGCAGTGAGTGAGATGCAGGGTAGAGGTAGGAACCCAGGTGAATCAAGACTCAGGCCCTGCCATCTGGAGATCCCTCAGGAGAGATGCAAGGGCAATGCTGGGGTGGGGGTGGGGTTGAAGAAGACAGAGTTAACTGGACTGGAAACATAACAGGAGGTAGCACTGGAGTCAGGCCTTAAATGTTAGGGAGCATTTTGTTGGGCAAGGATGGCATTCTTAGCCCAAGGGGAAAGCTGGGTTTCTTTGCTTGGAGGCAGGAGGGCAGCTTGCTGACAGGGAAGGTGGAGAAGTGGAGTTTTACTGGGGAGAGGAGATCAGTGGTGGATTTCAAGCAGGCCTGGAAGGAGGCAGGGGCCTCACAGAGTGGGTTCCTTCAGTGCCTGACTGTGAGCTTGCACTTCATTGAACAGTAGAGGAGGAGTCCGGAAGAGATTTTTAAATAGGAACCTGTTGTGTCTAGTTGCACTCCAGGAAAATTGTTTACATTTATACCTTGCCTTGTTCATTCAGCCTGTCTATTTTAAGAGATTGCTCTCTACCAGGCACTGTGCTAAACACTGAGGTGCAGCAGTGACCAAAGGAGACTGGATTCCTCCAAGAGCTAAAGAACAATGAGGGAGACCCATAATGAAACACACAAAATAGACCATAATTACATACATGGGGTACATTGATAGAGGATGCTGACTTTTTACAGACTACAGAGGGAGGGTGGACAGTAGGGTGGTCAGGAAGGCTCCTCTGAGGGAGTGATATTTTAACCAAGACCAAAAGATGAGAAAGAGCCAGCCAGACACAAAAAGGGGCGAGAAGAACACTTACACAACTTACTAGGCTGAGAAAATAGCACAGAGTTGAAGGAGCTTGGGAGACCACCACTTGTGCTAATCCGGGCAAGGGGTTTGAGGACTTGAGGAAGACCAGTGGCAGTGGGAGTAGGACGGGTAAGGGTTGTATTAGAGGCAGTCTGGAGGTGGAATCATTAGGTCTTTAAAGCAGATAAGTAAAACTTAGGGGAGAGAGTCGATGGTAATGCTGAGGTTTGGGGCTAGGTTGAATGGGTGAATGGTGGAGTGGTGCAAAGTAAGGAAGTCTGGAAGCAGGGCCAGATATGTTGGAGAAGATGTTGGGTTTGGTTTTGGTTCTGCTGAGTGTGTGGCCCTGGTAGGCTCTAGAAACAGCTAGAATGTGGGTCTGAAGACTGAAGGGTGGAGAGGAGCAAAAAGGAGGGGACCTGGATACTGTATCCTTCTCCCTTCTCTTTTTTCAAAGACCCTACTCCATGGTTCTTTACTTCCTGACCTGCCTCCTTCCCTTCTGGGAGTTGGGAAGGTGGAGGGTTAGCTACAGTTCTGCTCCTTTGGGCCTCTGCCCGAGTCTCTGTTGCTCCCCGGGAGGACATAGTTTGTTGGTACTTTCTTCTTGTCTTCTTATATATCCCAGCAGCCATTGGGACACATGCTGCCCTGGTATCTCTTCCCAGCTCCCATTTTTCCTTGATGCCTTGGGTGGGGGTATGGGAGGACACTGCTGTCAGAGGAGCACTTACCTTCTGATGCTGTCACCCAAGGTGAATGTTGGAGACACAGTCGCGATGCTGCCCAAGTCCCGGAGAGCCCTAACTATTCAGGAGATCGCTGCGTTGGCCAGATCCTCCCTGCATGGTATGCACCCCTTCCCAGGCCTCTGGCCATTTGGCCCTCCCTTTTGCACACGTCCTTAGGTACTTTATCCTGTGAGCTCTTTCTGGGATCTCCCTTTTTCAGGTGAATCCCAGCCCCCTCCTCCACCCAAGGCACCTGTGGATCTTAACTACCACCACCTTTCCACTTCCCTCTCAAATGCTCCCTGGTCCATGCTCTTACCAGGCTTCCTGATTCTGCCCCACCTCCAGGTATTTCCCAGGTGGTGAAGGACCACGTGACCAAGCCCACCGCCATGGCTCAGGGCCGAGTGGCTCACCTCATTGAGTGGAAGGGCTGGAGCAAGCCAAGTGACTCGCCTGCTGCCCTGGAATCAGCCTTTTCTTCCTATTCAGATCTCAGCGAGGGTGAACAAGAGGCTCGCTTTGCAGCAGGTGAGTAACAGAAAGGGGTTCGGCCATGCATTTTTCATAGGGATGCTCTTTCTCATCTACTCAGGCCTGATGTGGGGATTGGAGTCTTTCCACAGCCCTGAGTCGTCCCTCTCCTGTCTCTAAGCTGAGCCTTAATCTTAGCCCACCTTCTCTGCTAATGGATTCCATGTCCTCCCCAATAGGAGTGGCTGAGCAATTTGCCATTGCAGAAGCCAAGCTCCGGGCATGGTCTTCAGTGGATGGCGAGGACTCCACCGATGAATCCTATGATGAGGACTTTGCTGGGGGAACTGACTCAGGTGAGGGACATCCCATGCTAGTGCTGCCAGCTGGGGTGGAACTGCCTGATAGGTCCTGTGATTCAGAGCTCAGCCTTCAGAAGGGGAGAGGAGAGGGACGGACTCTGTCCAGGCAGTCCTGGACATTCCAGGACCAGGAGGGCTGTTCGTGCTCTTGGGTGGGCAGTCAGCAAGTGGAAGTGGAGTAGTTCTTTTCCCATAGGTCCTGAGCCTTCTCAGTCTGTCTGTGAAGTTGTGTCTTGCAGTCCTCAAACAAAAAACTCAGAGACCTCACCAACACTTTATGTACTACTACGTCTCTGGGAGAGTCTGCTGTGCCTTACCTCTGAAAGCCCTCTTGAGGCAGCCTCAGTCCTGATGTGGCAGCACAGATGAGGTACAGTGCAGCAACACAGCATCTCATTGGGCTGTGGCCCCAGGCAAACAGGAAGGCTTGCTGGACCGCCCATAGGGCTGCTGGCTCCAGCTCAGTAGGATCCTCACTTTCTAGCTGAGACCTGCTGGTGGGCCTTTCTCTGGGCCAGTGCTTGCAGAGGGGACTCTGTGGGGCTGTGTAGCTGTGCACAGCCCTTCTTTATTCTGCCAGTCTCTGGGCCACATGGCTGACTTTCTCTGTAGCTTCTGGGCTCAAGCCTCCCAGGCCACTATCCCCCCACCCACCTCTTTGCCTTTGAAGATTGCCTTCACCTGCCTCTACCCCTCCAGCTAATAAGTTCTCCAAGGTGGGCAGTACATTAGAGCAGATTAGAGACTGTTGCTGTGCTCCAAAGGGGAGTGATTTGGATGACTGAGACCAAGACAGACCCGAATCACCGCATTTTTGTTTGATTGAGTTCCAGTCCTGCTTTGATCCCTGGTATAATGATAATTAACATTTATCCAAGGTCACTACTAGCCCATGTGGAATCTTTGTGCAAATTAGAGAAAGGCACCCCTCTCTCTGGTGGGCGCAGGGCCATGCCAGGGCGTGCTGCTTGGTGAGCAGAGTGTGGGCTGAATTTCAGCTCTCACTGCCTGGACAGGCTCCCCTTGTGCAGTGAACAATCTGCATGATCGTGTATGGTATCACTGCATTTATTGCTTTCTTACTGTATGCCAGACTCTTGTTCTCTCAACAACCCCCAAAGATAAGGTATATTAGAATCTCCAATTCATCACAAAGGAAATTGAGGCACCAAGAGGTTAAGTGACTTGCCCAAAGTTCTCCAGCTCCTGCCCACCATCCCCAGAAACTGTGCTGAGGGTAGAGTGGAGAAAATTTGGCTTCCAGGTTGGTCAGTTGAGCTGGGGCTAGCAGGGATATCTTTTCTCTCCCCCAACAGACATGGCTGGGCAGCTGCCCCTGGGACCCCACCTCCAAGACCTCTTCACTGGCCACCGATTTTCTCGGTCTATGCGCCAGGGCTCTGTGGAGCCTGAGAGCGACTGCTCGCAGACCGTGTCCCCAGAGACCCTGTGCTCTAGTCTTTGCAGCCTAGAGGATGGGTTGCTGGGCTCCCCAGCCCGCCTGGCCTCTCAGCTGCTGGGCGAAGAGCTGCTCCTTGCCAAACTGCCCCCCAGCCGGGAAAGTGCCTTCCGCAGCCTGGGCCCACTGGAGGCCCAGGACTCACTCTACAACTCACCTCTCACGGAGTCCTGCCTTTCCCCCGCTGAGGAGGAGCCAGCTCCCTGCGAGGACAGCCAGTCGCTCTGCCTACCACTGGTGGGCAGTTGGCAACAGCAGCGGCAAGCCTCTGACGTGGCTTCTTCTGGGGTGGTGTCCTTAGACGAGGATGAAGTGGAGCCGGAGGAACAGTAACCCAATTTATGCCTGGTGGTGGCATGTGTCCCCTGGCTGCTGCTGGGGGCAGAGCCTCTGTGCCCAAGTGTGGGCATGGGGCTTCCAGCAGAGCTCCAAAGCCTAGAGGGCTCCTGGGAGCACTCACTCCTCATTGTGTGTTTTGCATGAAAGTGTCTGGAGAGGAGGCAGGGGCCAGGCTGGGGGCGCATGTCCTGCCCCCACTCCTGGGGTTTGCCGGGGGTTGCCCGGGGCCCCTGGGGCATGGCTACAGCTGTGGCAGACAGTGATGTTCATGTTCTTAAATCAAAAAACGCCACATACATATTTCCTCCTCAGATGACGTGAACCCCTGAGGGGACGGTTGTGACTGGGCTGTGTGGGATAGAGCAGGAGGAAGCCCGGCCTCCCCCTGCCTCTCTCCTCTCTGCTTCTCTCCTCACCTCCAAGTCCACATGCAGTGCTTGATAGATCACCCCCACCCAGGGAGCCTAAGGATTGAGCTGTCCCTCAGGGCCCCTTCTCCCAGCTGGGCTCGTGCTGTGCTTCACCTCTTCTTCATCATCTCTAAACCACCTTCTTTTTCCTAAAGAAAGAGGGGTTTTGTATGTTCTTTCAGCTGGATCTTCTCGGAGGCATTGGAATGATGAAAGTATGTACCCTCCATCCTTTTCCTGGCTGCCCTGAAGGGGTCTGGGTCCTTTCCCAGCCCCGTGTAGTATGTGTGGGCACGGGCCTGGCGGCTCCCAGGCCATCAGGCCGCTGCATTCACGGAGTTCTTTAGGGTGGAATTGGAAGAAGGGGACAGCTGTGGTTGCTACGGAGCCAGTGACTTCAATGTTCTTCCAGAGAGGGCCACCAGGGGGCCACACTGGTGGCCAGGTAGTTGTAGCTGATGCCTGAGCAGGGTAGGAATTGTGCCAAGTGGTGACAGTCATGAGGGAGTGTCTCTCCTTGGGGAGGAAAAGAGAGTAGTGCCTTTCTTGGCTGAAGGAGAGGCCAAGGCTACAGAACTGGGGGCCTCTCTCCCAGCCATGGTGTTGATGAACAAGCAGTGGGGGCCACTGCAGATCCTGCATTCCAGACCCTCTGGAGTTGTCCGGCTGGGGGGTGGGGGGCTGCAGCTTTCGGGCCTTGTAGGGTTCGCAGGTAAGAGAGCCCAAGGTAAGAACAAGAGCTGATGGGCACAGGCATTCTATATATAAGTGGCTCAGTAGGTGTTTATTTTGTTCTATTTAAGAATTTGTTTTATTAAATTAATATAAAAATCTTTGTAAATCTCTATATACATCTGGTCATTGGAGGTTCCAGTATAAACCCATCTCAGTTCTCCCCCTTTCTCCCACAAAGGGGTGGCAGGGGTTAAGCGACCCCACCCTCATCCTGCCAGGGCAGTGCTGGTCTTCCTGCCCTTGGGACACTTGTTGCAGGTGGGCACTGGGTCAGATTCCAGGCAGAAGAAACCATGAAAAGCTGGTACCCCCAGTCTGGAAGGGAGGCTGGGGCTCCAGCCTTCCGGTACAGCTGCCTACTTTCCCAAGGCAGAAAGAACAGGAGAGCTGCAGGATCTGGGCTGACAGCTAAGGCCACCACCATCCCAGGCCACCCGCTGAGGGGTTCACTGGCACTTGTCGTCGCTGTCAGAAGGGCTGCCTTCCCGGGGGAGGCTGTGGCGGGAACGGGGACCCCAGAGTGCGTGCACCTCAGTGGTTTCTGTGTCACTGCTGCTGGTGGCACTGTCACGGAAGCTGGCGAGGGGTGGCCGGACTTTCACACCCTGTGCTGTGATAGAGCCCTCGATAGCCTTCCGGAGCTGGAAAGGTGAGAGGGTCAGATGTGTGGACTCGGAGCCCCTGCTCAGACTCCTCCCCAGCACTTCCCCCAAACGAGCTGCACGTAAGTCTCCATGCCTTTTTGGAAGTTGAAGTGGCTTTGATGGCCACTGTCATCTCACCTCCTTCAGGGTGACTATTCCAATGAGTCTGCCAATACTGGTGACATAAGCATGGTCCACTCCCAGCAGTGAGAAGATGGTGTGAGTCTGAAGGGTGGTGAGAAAATACATTGGACTTTATGCATGAGGATAAGGTGTTGGGAATGGGGGAATGGAAGGGTTATCACAGATGGTGGGGGCAGGACCACCAGAGGGAAAGAATAAAAAGAATGTACAACCAGTCCTCAGAAACTTTATAGTGGGAATCTTTATGTTGCTTATGCTGATGAAGAAATGGACAAAGGAAGGATTCTGTGTCCCATGTTAGAAAGGAGGATGGAGGAGAGAACAACTGTTCAAATATGACATCTAATGATTGGGCACCTGGCTCGGTTTTTCTTATATTAGTGTTTAATTTTAGCACTGTCTAGAGAAGTATGATACCTATTCTATAGGACAGTCATTTCAGTGGTGAAATGACTTGCTCGGATCAGTAAGAAGTAGCCCCAGGCTACTTTTCTTCATGCATTCTCGTCCTGGATATATCTAGGAGGGAGGGTCCGCATGCCCCTTTAGGGAAACTGGCCTTGAATCTCACCCTACCTTAGGGGCTGACACATGCTTCCCCGTTTGCCTTCAGCTGGCTGGCCAGTTAAGGTAATCCCTTCCCCTTGGCTCCAGCCCCCTAACATGGGCCTGCAGCACTCTGTCGCTCATGCAGTTTGCCTTTTCCAGGGATGGAAGCATCCCAGGTCCTGTTGAGATGTAGTTTGCAGTCCAGAGGACAACTCCCCCTTCCTGCCTATGTTTTTCTTACTTTGGGCCCTCCCCCAAGCTTTCAAATGTAATCACCAAGGGTTCAGAAATTGTCAGCCAGCTCCCCTTGTACTCTAAATGGATTTTCTTGCGCCAGATGTCCTGAAAAACATTACTGACTCAGCAGTTCCTGGAATTTTTGGCCTATCATTTATCACACTGTTTTGAGTTTACTTGTAAGCCTCCTGGCTTAATGTTTGAATCAAAATGGACATTAATATTCCCAGCTTCTTAAGTACTAGTTACTCAGAAGTCACTGTACTTGTTTTAACACTTAAAATTTTTTTCTTACACAGTTGCTGAATTCCTTAGGAAAGGACTTCCATAACTTTCCTAACTTTCTCCTTCTAAGGCATGACAGTACTTACAAAAGGAGCTAGAAGTTCAGTTTTAGCATAAGCTTTTCTGTGCTTCTTTAATACCTATGTCAAAACTGTCCTGTGGTTAGCAAGTTCCTCCTCATATCTAACTTGAATCCTACGTGCTACAAGTTATCTTTAATTTTCTCATCTGACTTTGGAGGGAAACATCTTTATTATAAGATTTCCTGTTTTAATAATCCCTTGGCCTTGTCTTACTGTTTAATAATCCCTCTCATCTTCTCCCAAGGATCTTATTAAATCATTCCCCTGGATTTTCTATTCTCCATAATCCTAATCAGAGTGAGCTGGCAGGGTACACGCCTTTTACGTTTGTAAACTACTTGCCCTGGGCGGTCACCAAGCCTCACTGATCTACTTTCTGAATATCCTGGTCATTCTCCCCAACTTTCTCATCATTCTCACCAGGACAGGGCTGTGACATCCTAAGGGGTTCTGCTTTCCATCTCCCTTCCAATTGGGCTCTTCCACCCTTTCAGCTTTCTCCAACTTGAGTTAGAGCCTGGACTCCCCAGAATGGCTCCTAAGGCCTTTTCCAAGCTCACCTGTCTTTCCGGCCTCAGATTATACCAGGCACCCTAGCTTCCAGCCTCACATATCACTCATCCTTTTATGAAAACATCGACGTCTTCCATACTTCAGCCTTTCCCTCATTACACCATCTTTTAAAGTCCCCGATTGTTTGCCCATCAGTATAACTAGCGGCAGCAGCAGTAGTAATTCCTAACATATATTGAATACTTACTATGATTCAGGTACTGTTTTAAGTGCTTCACATGTATCGACTCCTTTAATCCTCAGAAAACCCTATGATGTAGGTACTACGATCCCCATTTTACAGATGAGGAAAGTGAAGCACACAGAAGCTAAGAAATCTCATAAGGGTACACAGCTAGCTAACACATGGCAGAGTGAGGATTTGGGTTCAGCCAGTCTGGCCTAATGCTGCCACTCTAGCTTCCCCTACCTCCACCCACTGTTTCTCTGTCGGTGGCCTCTGAATGAATGAGGTACTTAGCTGGTACAGTGATCTCCAGTTGCACAGGTTCCTAAATAGTCTCCAGTGTATTCTCTCTCTCCTCTGAATGTTCCCCTCCTGAACTTAATTGGGCTACTACTTATTGACTCCTCAGGCCTACAAGGACATTTTGAATTCTAATCTTTTATGTTCTTATCGCTTCTAGTTCTTTGTACTTTTGTTCGTCGGTTCCTCAAAGGCTTCTTCTTTTCCTCTGATTTTTAAGTTTGTAACAAACAACTACTTTGTTCTTTTTCATTTTAATTTAGTTAGACACCAGGGAGCTCGTTGGAGAGCCTGCATTTCTTGAGCTTGGGAACAGTGAATTGACAGGGGGAGGGACAGCATGGCCCAGTGAAAGAATCCTGGGACTGAGGCCAGGACATCTGGGCCCTGCGCCTGACTCTGCTATACTGACTCAGGCAAGTGACCTCCTCGCTGCCTCAGTTTCCCCATGTATTAAACCGGTTAAATCCACAGGCTTCTGGGTCAGACCATCTTGGATTCTAGGCCTGGTTCTGCTACTTATTAGTTGTGTGACCTTGGTCAACTTGCTTAACCTTGCTGAATCTCAATGTCCTCATTTATAAAAACTGGAATGTCGCAATATCTAATAGTGCGGTTGTGAGGATTAAATTAAACGTGAAGAGCTTAGCCCAGTGCCTGGCACACGGCAAGCACTACAAAAATGTCAGCGTTATTATCATCATCTTTATGCAATGTTTGAGGACTAAGTAAGATGATGGAAAAGCTTTAGAGATCTTAGGAGGAAAGGCTTTAAATAAAAGCCAAATATATTATTCTCAGGTCTCTTTCCTTTTTTCCTTGCAACTGAACTGCCGTTCCCCACTCACTTTGATCTGAGGTCTTTTACCCAAAGGCTTATAAGTTCCTTTATTAACTTTTTGCTTTTTTTCCCTTGGTTTCTTTTTTTGTCCCCTGTCCTTCCTCCCAGGCCCCTGCTTGCTCTCACTGGGCTGGCTCTTAGGCACAACTTGCGTTTAAGCTAGCAGTTCAAGCTACAGACCTTGGGAGTGCTCCCTAACTGCCGCCCCTATGCCTCAGAGGTTTGTACATTAAATCTAACAATTTAGCTAAAACACCCCTTGCTTTCTGCCCTAGCAGCCTGCTGGGTGTGCCTGCAATCACCTGCCTTTACTTAGAAGCCTGCAGGTACCCAGCCAGTGATGCCACAGTCCCATTATGGGGAGGCAGTCCTCCACAGAGAGCCCCTGCCCTCCTCTAGTGTCAGCCTCACCCAAAACCAATCTGTCTGCACTCAGGTTTTCTCCCCATTTCTGTAGGCCATTTTGCCCTTCTGCTGAGCTATCTTCCTTCCTATGTCCTTACCAGTTTTCCTTTGACCTACATTAAGTCAGTCTTTCTGGGGTCTGACATTCCAAGCCCCCTGCCGGGCGTTTCTCATCTTTGTTTATCTCTTCTCTGCAGTGTCCCCACCCCTACTTGGATGTTTGTTAGCTTGTTTATTAGATTTTCTTATCCTGCCTGTTTCTCACCCATTTTGTTCAGCATGGGCGTATCAGCCTTGTTGGGCGCTGGCAGCCTCCTGCCTAGCTCTGACCCTGGCCTGGCCTTCTGGCTTCCACCCAGCTTGAGCCCTGTCTTTGTTTGCTGCTTTGGTCCAGAGTTCCCTGGGGGCAGGGCTGAGAAGAGGAAAAATAATGCCTGACCCCACCACAGGCAGGAGGAGGCTAAGGGGACCTGGCTTTTGGTCTCTCATCGTTTGAACTAATGTGTTTGAAAAACATCTCAGCACAGAGCCCACTCTCTACTGTCCCCTTTTCCCTCACTGGCTTGAGTCCAAACTTGTGGGAGGACCTAGATCCTCACCCCGTGCTCCTGAAATCCCAGGCCAGTCCCTGGTTGCTGGCCCTACCTTGTGCAAAGAAGTCCTCTCCACCAGCTGGAAGGGGGCAGGGTCTATTTTGCAGTCACTGAAGTTGACAGGTTCATCTAGTTGCTGCTCCTCCCACTCCAGAATCTGAGGGTACGAGACTAGGAGGGTTAGGAAGAAGGTGCCAATAGTGGCTCTTACCTCCCCGAGAGCTGGCCTTGGGAGTGCTCCCCAACTGCCGCCCCTATGCCTCAGAGGTTTGCACCTTTTTCCTACCCCATG